GGTGCCAAATATTAAACCTGCTAGACAAGCAACCTACTATTTAGTTGTATCCCTAGCTCTTAGAATTACTTCTTTTTATGTGTGGAGTATGTGTCCGTGGATGCACGTGTGCATGTAGAAAACAGAGGAGGGCCTTAAGCCTCCTTTCTCGGTGTCTACCTTATTTCGTGAGACAAGTCTCACTGGCCTGAAACTCAGATAAAGCTAGACTGGTTGGCCAGCCAGCCCCAGGCCTCCACCTGTCTTCACGCCTTGCACTGGGATTACAAGTTTTCACCACACCCAGCTTTTCCTAGTGGTTTCTGAGGACCAAACTCAGGTCCCCATGCTTATGCAGAAAGCACTATGGACTGTTTCATCTATTGTAACACTCTAGGAGTTGGAAAGAACCAGGAGAAAGGGGAGGAACTAGAAGTGCCAAGCTCAAGAATGTATAATCTTACCTTGGCTGTTCTCTGCAGAGAAAAACAAACTGTAACTACTGGGAAGGAGGAGGGGTGGAGCTAAGCAAGAGACAGACAACAGCTAGCTTCCTTTCCCCTGAGAGAAAGCTCTGAAGGCTCTTCCCAAGAGAGAGTTGAAATCCTTTGGTAAGAATACATTAGCAAAATATATTTACATATATAACCCTTCTTAGAAGTGTGTGTGTGTGTGTGTGTGTGTGTGTGTGTGTGTGTGTAAGGAATATGGAACAGTAGCAGAAGGCTGTGTCCTTACTCCTAATGGGATTTTGTAACAGCATGTGTGAGTTTGTTTCAGAAGTCAAAAATGAACAGATGTTGGTATAAATTACCTCTGTGTCTGATGTCTTGCAAATTAAAAGCGCGGTTGGCATCACTAAACAATTTCACTGGGTTTAGGGGGGCACAGTGTGCGGGTGGTGATTATTGTGGAAGGTTGGATAAGAATCTTCACACTGCAACAGATCGAGAGAGCGAGGATAAAAAACAAGGAATAAAATAAGGGCTCTATGAATTCATCAGAAATGTTAACGTTCCTGACGACAAGTGAACAGGAGGGCACTTGCTCTGGAGCAGGCCCTGACCCATAGCAATTTCCCTGTGCACAAAAAGGGGTTGGTGCTTAGGCTCTGATTTATAGGACGCGGCCCTCTTAGGGAGCGGTTCTGTCATGCATTCGTATATCTCCTATATGGGACTGGCAAGAAGGGAAACTCTGTCCCCTCCCATGCAGAAGAAGAAGATGACTTTGGAATGACTTGTGCTTTTATGGCGGTTTTCTGCAGCTCTGTATTGGATTAGGTGGAAGGGGAGGAATGATTGAGTGGAAAGGGTCGTTAAAGAGCATTGGTTAAACTCAGGGAGAACTTACCACTCAGAGACTTTTCAGGATCTCCGCCCATTTTCCCTTTAAATAGCTCTTGAGTCCTCAAGTATTTGAGTCTTTAAAATTCTAAGTCTAAACATATCCAGGTCTTGCTTTCACCTTAGGGTAGGGGACAGTCCGAAGAGGCTGAAGAGACGGCTCAGTGCTTAAGAACACTGTCTGCTCTCACACTGGGTCAGGTTTGGCTCCCAGCACCCACATGGCAGCTTATAACCATCTGTAACACCAGCTCCGGGAAATCTGACAGCCTCTTCTGTCCTCTGCAGGCACGTAAACAAGCACACACACAGGCAAACCACTCATACACATAGTAAACATGCACACACGCAGGCAAACCACTCATACACATGGTAAAAATAGATCCCTTTTTAAATAGCATCGAGGAATTGGGAGGTCTGAAGGACAACAGGCAGAAATCACTGATGAAATCAGGACATGTCCAGGGTTCAGCCAGGGGAGTTGTTACCCATATCTGGTTTCCACACTTGCTCCAGGCCGTGTTGCAGGCCGGTTTGATGCTGTTTGGGCTTAAAGTTCCTATACTTTACACTCAAGAGCAGGCAGTTGGCCCGTGTAGCCACTCTACCTGAAAATGTAAGTAAATCTGTAAAGGATTAGTTAAGGGTAAAGATTCCAATCAATGGAGCTTTTGAGGTTTCTGACCTCCCTTATCACCATCCATCCATCCATCCATCCATGCATCCATCCATCCATCCATCCATCCATTCATCCATCTATTCATTCACTTAGAAAATGTGGGAGTGACAACACATTTGTTCCTTGTTTAGAGAGAGGAACATCATTTGTTCACCACTATAGTGATCACCACTATACTGATAATATCCAAGAGAAAGTAGAGCAGATGGGCTCTGCCCACTGCCCGTCTACAGATGCAGAAGGTGAGGCTTGGAGACTGTCTAGCCTGAGTCTCTTGGCCTTGAAGTTCTGGCCCTCCTGCCTGTGTCCTGAGGGCTGGAGTAGACACGCACCATCATGTTTGGTTTATGTCGTGTCAGCAAGCAGTCTACCATCTGAGCTGCGTCCTCAGCCCCAGATCCTGTCTGTATTCTCTATTTTAAAAAGTCCCTGCTGTCTCCCCAAGGATAAGTAGGTGATTTCCAGTCAACTGGACTAGTCCTTTACCCCTGAATCGCCATTAACTTTGCATTACTTTCTTCAAATGGCTCGGCTAGTAAGGAGACTTGCCTGTGACCTGAATTCAGTCCCTTAAGCCCATGATGAAAGAGAGAACTGACCCCACAAGCTGTCATCCAACTTCTACATAGGCACCATAGCTATACACACACACACACACACACACACACACACTCACACACACTCACACTCACACTAAGATAAGTCTATTAAATTTATTATTGTTATTATTATTATTACCTACCTTGGGCAAGGTAGGTAGCATGAGCCTTTAATCTCAGCATTTGGGAGGCAGAGACAAGTGGATCTCTGAGTCTGAGGTCAGCCTGATCTACAGAGTAAGTTCCAGGCTAAACAAGTCTACATAAAGACCTCATCTCAAGAAAAAAAGAAAAGAAAATATTTTCTTAGGGAAATAAACAAACAAAAACCCATTTTTTTTTGAAACCCTTCCATACATAGAGTCCACTAAAAGCCACTGGCCAGTATAATTGACTGTAATAATTGACTATAAAGGAGACACTTGCTGTGTCCCTGCCTATTATCTTGTATAGTGTTGTTTGTGCGATCAGCATTTATTCAGTAGGCTGCCCTCAATCCTGACATTTTAATGGAGGAATATGTATAAAACTCATGTGCATCTACCAAGGAAAGGTCAGATTTTTGCCCCTGGAGGGTTGGGGCTCTGAGGGACCTAACCCTGAACTTCCATACCCAGCTGAGAGACTCCCTCCTCCTCTTGTTGGAGCTCAGGAGCACTGGGAGGTATAGACTGATGACACAGAAAGCCTCTCTGTGATGACAGACTGTACATATACAGAACAGGCGGGAAGCTGGAAAAGCTGGTTGTGCATCGCTGGTGATTGAACCTATGACCCTGCTACACTCGAGGCGAGCATTCTACCAGCTGAGCTACATCTCCGTGCCTTATTTTACTTTAAGACTGGGTCTTATTAAATTATGTAGCCTCCAGCCAGAATTACATGCCTTTACCACCACGCTTGGCAAATAAGCAGCTGTTAAGTTTAGATTGACTGGGGTGGAGGATGTGCCCGGCGTCATTTGCTCTGCACTAGGTAAAGGCACAAGGTCGCAGCAGACAGGCCTTTTTTACTGCAGGTTCCTCCCACAGCCACTTCCTTTCTTTGCCCAAGATGGATATGTTCTCTTTTGAGACCATGGAACGCCACCTGCCCTGTGTCCACTGAATAGTTCTGGAAGACTTCTTGCTCCCCAGCCTAGCCATCAGAAGTTTTCAAAACTGTAACTACATTTAAGTTCTAAAGTGATGATTTGTGGAATGAGATGGGGGGCAGGGGATACACTGTCCATGCTTATTGACATTTGCTTAGCAGAACTATACCAGGGGCTTCCTGAGTGCCCCTCTTGTAAGTGAGAAAGGTTTTACTTTTACTTTGGAGCCTTACATCTAGGAAAGTAGCTGAATAAACCTAGTGTAACTAGTTCTTAAAGATTGATGGTACTGAAAGCCAGGGAAAGACACATAAACCTTGCCTGGCTATATTAAATACCTACGGACTGACAATGCCAAGAGAGAGAAGACCAAAGCCCTATAAACTTTGCTTTATTACACCATCCCTGGATGAACTGCACTGAGGGAATATAAACACTGTTATATTACAGCACACAGGGCCTCCCACTGCTCCGAGGTGAGGTGTATGATCACTGATTCTGATTTGAGCTTTTAAATGTTCAGAAACTAGCAGTCCAGAGAAGATTGTAATCTTGGTTGGATTTGAGCCTCCCAGAACAAACCTCATAATAAGATAGTGGGCATGGGTGTTAGACCCGAGAGACAGAGAGTAGAGGGACTCACACTTGTCTTAGTCAGCACAAAGCATCATGGTCAAGAAGCAAGTTGGGGAGAAAAGGGTTTATTCACACCAAAGGAAGTCAGGACTGGAACTCAAGCAGGTCAGGAAGCAGGAGCTGATGCAGAGGCCATGGAAGAATGTTACTTACTGGCTTGCTCAGCTTGCTTTCTTATAGAACCTAAGACTACGAGCCCAGGGATGGCATCACCTACAATGGACTGGGCCCGTCCCCCTTGATCACTAATTGAGAAAATGCCTTACAGCTGGATCTCATGGAGACATTTCCCCAAGGGACGTTCCTTTCTCAGTGATAACTCCAGCAAAGATAGCAGATAGCCTTCCACAGTTCACCTGTACCTTATACAGTTGCCAGCTTTATACTCTCTGTCCAGTTTTAATTGTAGTAGATTAAATTTGTTGGGGTAGCAGTTTGGTATACAGTTGATTTAAGTGTATACCAATTGATCTAATTACTGATATGCTTTTTTATATTAACATATTTATTTATAAGTATAGGCACACATGACAAAGATGAGAAAGTCAGACTATTACTTTAGAGAAGTGGATCTCTTGTTCCAATCTGCATTTTTACCTTAAATCTTCCTGTGATCCTTTTTTCTATTTTAGATATTCATTGATATTTTGTTTACTTTGTGATTGCAGCCAGAGAGATGACAAGAGGAAAATTCTTGAACATTCTAGAAAAGCCCAAGAAGTAGCAACTGCTCATGGACTGGTATTCGAAGACTGTAACCAAGTTTCCTTCCAGATGCAACTCCGATGCCCACCATGTGCTTCCTTGGGAAAGCCTGAAGACTAAACTTCAGGACTGCCCTTCTCCCTTGCCCCTGGCACCCTGTGCCTCTGAGGACGTTTGGTAGCAAGAGGAGAGTTTGTTCTGCCCAAGGGTCATTGCTGTTTGCTGAGTTGGCTTCCCTGTTCTGGATATTGCTAGCACAGAGGGCCTGTCATTCTGAAAGGTGGTTTCCAGGAGCCCCAGGATCGTATGGTTCCTTTGATTCTGTAAGGGCAAAGTCATTAGTGACTTGTTGGTTGAAAGGGTTCTGTTGAGTTGTACTTGATCTCCTAAGCATTCATGATGAGGACATCAGAGACCAACTACGTTCTGGACCAGACTGTGCATCCTGACCTGTGAACTCTCCAACATCTATGGATTCTTTGGCTCCATTCTGGAGGAAACAGAATCTTGCTGAAATGCACATCTGCTTTTTAAATCTGCACCTCCAGTGACAATCCCACTGTCAACACTATCTGGTCCCCACCTCCCAGTCCCACTCGCAGGTCTGACTCCAGACAGGAGGAACTCTTGAGTGACTTTCCTGGGATTAGCTGTAGAGTGAACGGCTCATGCTGTGTCGCTTTGAGTCCTAGACCTCCAGACCAATAAGAAGGCAACAGAAGGAACTCTGGGTAGTCTGTTACGTTTGTAAGTAAAAAGGTGGGAGGGTGTGGTTGTGAGAGTCCCCATGTGACTGAAAACAGGAAGCCTGACTGACTGGTGTGCTAGCAAATGGTAGTGGCGTTTTGTCCCTCCTTCCTCCTCTCAGCCACCTATCAGATGCTTTGCTTATATAAGAACACACCCCATGAAAGTGTCCTGGCTTAACTACAGCTCTCACAGATTTTTTTTTGCTAGTTGTATGTCTGCTGAAATCTGAAAATCTTGCCCGGGGATAAAATCAATTAGACCTAGTCTGTCACATGATAAGTACAGCGAGTTCCTTGAACATTGTAGAAAGAAAAGCTCTGTGGCCATCGTCCACTGGGAGTGTGGACACAGGAAAAGTTGTGGTCAAGTTTGTGGTCTTGTATCTTTTAGGGCACAGTACTCTGGGCTCTACAGCAAGGTCCCTTGACTGTTTTTGACATTTGTGCTTAATGCTAGAATTGATGTTGGATTTTCCCCCTCATTAATGGTTTTGATCAACACAATTTTACTTTTTGAAAGGAAAAGGCAGTGAAATATATAACACAGATATGACTATGAGAAGAGATGTATTCTGCTGAGGTCCCTACAATGACCAGTTGATTTTAAGCTTAATTCTATAATTGACAGTTTTTAATCTCACTGAATGCAATTAAAGTGAGTGTGTGCAAGTGGTTGGAAAATAATGCCATAATGTCAATTTTTTTTCTTCACTCTGTTTTTGAGAGTTGATGACATCAGGCAATTTTCAGAGTTTGGGGAAATTGAAAACTTTGTGGAGAATACTGGGCTAGCTCCCCCAAACTAAGCACGTCTGTAATAGGAAGCCAGGAGTTGGTGTTTTGATCTGCTATGGCCTCCTTCTCTTTCTGTCCTATTCACCAGCACTTAATTAATGTAAGTAGGTGTTTTAGACTGTGGTATTTATTGTTTTTGTATTATCGTCCTTAGAAATGTTAATGGTGTATTTTTGTATTGATAATATAAACTTATGTATAGTATGTATTTTAGAATGTTAGAGAATACTTTGTGTATAATGTTGTCTCTCCATAATAAATATGTCCCTCATATAGGAGACCATGTTTTTCCTTAAAGGGCCAAGCTGCATGTTTAAAACATAGACTTATCAGAAGCACAATTGCGGTGACAAGCCCACTGTCCCACCAGCCATGTTGATCATTGTTCTTCCTAGAAGCTCTGATGACCCTGCTGGAGTCTCCCCATGGTTCCTCAGCATTCAGATGTACCATTCCTGTGACTCTGATCACATACCACCTCACAACTCAGTTAATCTGTGGTTTTATTCAAATCAGGGCAGCAAAATGCACCTGATAAAAACCATCTCACTGTCTCTGCAATCTCAAAACAGCATTTGAGGTACCCAGGAGTGCTTTGAGTCCATACCCCCAGCATTTAGGCATTGCAGAATGGCCTATGGGTTGGAATGGGGGCAGGTAGGCCAAAGTAGATGGCTCCCAGGAGTCGTCAAATCAGTGGTTTCTTGGCAGCTTAAACTTGGCCTTCCTTTCCAAGCATGAAGTCATGTTCTCCATTTGACATCTTCCCTATCCTTCAAGAGATCCAGGATCACCATATTCCAGCAGCTCACTGAGTGAGCAAACAGAGGTCTCCAAGTTCAGTTCTAAGTTCTGACTAGCCTATACCTGGCTCTTCGTATCTGTTTAGACCTGTGCCACTTTGGAAGTGTGCCCCTGTGTCTGAAAAGGCCGTTGACCTTCCCACCCTTTGTCTGGCACTTTTAGACCAGGGACAGTTGGAAGCTTCAGGTGATACCGGGTGCAACTGTGGGGCCCTTGGTTGGCTGCAGTGCTGGCAGAGCCTGTTAATTAGCACGAGATCACCCCAATGCTCCATTAGCTGGGCCAGGCATTGGGGACTTCCCCTCCTGGGGCCTCTTCCTCCTAATGAGAGCAGGAGAAGGGCTCTTACAAAACATTGCCTCAGAATAATATTCTGCTTTGTCCCCACCAGTAACCAGGGCTGACAGGATCACTCTGTCCATTTCTCCTCTAATTAGCACAATTCCAGCATAGCCTGAGCCAGCAAATGGAGAAGAGCGATCAGAAGCGATCGGACAACCGTACTGAATCACAAACACAAAGAGAGCCATTCCCTGTAATTAGGTGAGACAATCCCTCAGTCCTTTCTCGGCTGGAGTTTGCTGCTAAGACTCTTCCTGTTTGGGTCCTAGCAGCACAAGTTACAAGTCTCCCTGGGACGCTAATAAGCCCCAAATTGTCTTCCGCTTCATACAACTCTAACCAGAGGGCAGATGCAGGGAGGAGGATGGGGAGGAGGAAGAGGAGGAAGAAGGAGAGGAGGCAGCACACTGAGGGATGGGGAACAGAGTTTCTAAACAAAGCAACTTGTGAGAGTTTCCCAAAGCCCAAGGCAGAGCAGAGCTGCGCTGGGCACAGCCTGGCCTCCATTCCTGGAGCCAGAGTCTGAAGCCCTGGAGCCCTGACCTTCCAGGAAGTCTGCTCTGCTTCCTCACCCTTGGCCCTCGCTGCTTCACACGGCTTGCTGTGTGACTGTGGTACCACGTCTGGACCTTCAGAGAGGTTCTTAACCACCACGTCAGAGAGAATTGACACAGCCTGTGTGAGATGCTACCCTTGAAGAGCACATGGCCTGCCAGAGGCACTCCTCAGCCCACTTACACTTTAACCCTTTCACCTTCGTGTCTGGCTCTTCCCCTGGGTACTATCCCCAGTCTCTCTTGGATAATCTTTAAAAGAAAAAAGAAAAAAGAAAAAAAAACAGAAAAGTAGCCTATTTGCCAACGCAAGCCTTCCTGACTGGCTGCATTCTGTGTGACTCAGAAGTTGGTAGATGAAAGTCGGATTCCCCCAGGATTGCAACCGATTTCCAACAGAAACACTTGGGGGTGATACAGTGACAGACTTAATCATAGCCGGGGGCAGAAGGTGTAAGGAGAGTTTCCTTGGGAATCTGAAACTCAAGTTCTAAACAGAATTGGCTAACATTTTTTCATATTTATTTTGATCTGTTTCTGAGGTTTTTGGAAGTGACCTCCAATAACCAGAAAGTGCTCAATTATGTAGAATCAAAGAAGCCAAAAAATCTCAGTGACTCTTTTCCAAATGTGCTAAGTTCCCCACTGTGCCAAATAACACTTCACTGGAATTTCCTGGAGTCCTGAGGTGTGTCATTACAGGACATGAGAATCAGTGCGGGGCATATCTTACCATTGTCTGACTATTTGATGGGGTCATTAAAGACTGGACTTGGTGTCTTTTTCTTTCTGCCCACATTTGTTAGAATTATTGACACTTTCAGGGGAAATGTGGAGTAACTAGTGCACAGTAGCATCTCCTCCCTTCCTCCACAGCCTTCACTTTCTGAAGTAACCTCTGGCTAGCAAGTGCACTGGAAAATCCAGTCATTGACTCCGCAGAGTGTCACGAAAGTCCGTTTGTGGCTGAGAAGCACTTGGAGGGATGTATTTTCCACAACTGGCAGGGTTCTTAGCTGACACTGGCTTCCTATGGTGTCGAATTGCCATGACACAGCTTTTCCTCCTGATAGTTTCTGAGCATCGATGCTATTCGGGTCACTACCTGGGAATGCATTTCCTGCCTTACCCTATGCCCCTGGTCCTTGCTCCATACCCCTCCACATTGTTCCAGGTGCTTCCCCAGGTATGGGCTTGGTTAGGTTCTCCTTCCCTTCACAGGGCTGAATAGGCCCCACTCGGGCCTCAGCCTCCTCCACCCTTAGAGAGCAGCCTGGCCTGACCAGCCTGAGGTCTCAGGTCAGATGAGGCTGAAGGTCACATCCTGGTGTCTTCCTTGGATACAGCCAAGCTCCAGGGACAGCAGCCGAGCCCTTAGCTCCACACAAAGGAACAGCAGGGAAGGATCAAGTTAGAAGAGTCTGCAGTTGAGGTTGAATGGGAGTGAGAAGCCCTGGCTGCAGTGGCCAGGGAGCCTTGGTCAGGGCCACAGGCATCTGAGTCAGCTCAGAGCCAGAAATAGTCTACAGAACATGGGGTGCCTCAGAGGAAAGCAAACTCCAGAGCTCTTCATGCAGCTTTGCCTCCACCTTTGTGTGTGTGTGTGTGTGTGTATGTGTGTACATGATCATAGGTGATCATGTATGCCTGTGCGTGTCAAGAGAGAAATGTTAAGTGTCTTTCTCCATTGCTTTTCTGCTTTTCTACGTTATTTTTTTAAGAGTTGTCACTGGCCCTAGAACTGACCAATTCAACTAGGTTGGCTGGCCAGAAAACCTGAGGAATCCTCCTGTCTCCACCTTCCAGTGCTGAGATTGCAGGCATGCCCTGCTAGGCTTGGATTTTACATGGGTCCTGAGAGTCAGACTCCGGTCCTTGCAAGATAAGGTGTTCAGTGGAGAAGACAGAAAAGCACCAGGGCCAGAGACAGGAGAAAGGAGCAGGGAGAATAGGCCTTGTTCTGAGATGTAACTCAGCCATCCCAATCTGGGGCATCACGCCCCGACACCTGACTGGGCTCTGGAGGACCCTAAGGAGGCTTGACCCATTTATGGGTAGAAACAGATGACATCATGAAACCCGGTAAATCCTAAGGGGACCATATCTGCTCCCCTCCTTTGCCAGGAGTTTACCAAAAAGGTTCAGCTCAAGTCAGAAGGAAGGCAACATGGCAGGCTTGTGCAACCCTGAGTCCTGTCTGGCCTTTACCATAGCTCTGAGGCTGTCAGCCAGATGAGAGGAGTCACTGCATCTGAGAGGGGAGCACTCCAGGAGGATATCTGAGGCAGTTGTGACTATGGGAGGACTGCAGTGCAGGCGACACTCCCCAGTATCACCAAAGATTGATGCAAATTGGTTTGGCTCTGACCCTGTCACACCAGGAAGGATAATGATTCCAGCGCAGGGGGGGGGGGTGCACGCCCATGGCGGGGGCTGTGAGGATTGGTGGCTTGCTTCACATCTTCATTAATGATCTGAAAGACTGGGGTAAACAGCATGCTAATGAAACCTGCAGATGATTGGTGTTACAAACCCCAGAGAGGACAGGAAAATCGCACAGCAAGACCCAGTGAGCTTAGAAATATGGGTCGGCGATTGTCAAATGATTCGTCCTAGGAAAATGAAAGTAGACACATCAAGGAGAAATGATGGGTTTCTGGGTCCGGGTGCGGGGAGGGCTGCAAGCCTGTAAAGTGGGGATGGGCAGCGGGTTGGAAGGTTAAGTAAGGGGACAATGCAGGAAGCGTGGAAGAGCTGGCCTTGAGGGCCCAGGGACAAACACAGCGGGCACTCCTGTCCAGGGCTGTGTGAGCCCAACTGTGCACCTGAATGCCACATGGGTTCCACTTGTCCACTAGAGACACAAGCTGTCAGCTCCTGGATCCTTCCTTCTACAAGGCAGGGCTGTGACCAAGCCATGAGCTGACCATAGTTACAAGGAAGCCATCAAGGAGTCTGGGGGACTTAGGTGCCATTTTGATCCATTTGAAGAAACCATTTCATATATATATGTGTGTGTGTGTGTATGTGTGTGTGTGTGTGTATGTGTGTGTGTATACACACATACACACACACACACATATATATATATGCTTCCTGAGCATATATAGTAAACATTTGGGGTGGGCTTTGGTATGACTGTCCTCTAATTTTATTTCCTGAGCTGTAAAAGTCACTTTTCAAGTAAATTATGTCCCCTTCCCTCTTGAGACAGCACTGTAGACCTGGCTGTCCTAGAATTCACAGACATTGGGGAGGTTGGCTCAGCAGTTAAGAGCACCTGTTGCTCTTGCGGAGGACCTGAGTTCCGTTCCCAGCACCCACCTCAGGAGGTTCACAGCTGCCTGTATGTAACTGCAGCTTCTGCTGATCTGACACCTTCTCCGAGGCTCTGTGAGGACCCACATCCACTGGCGTTCATTTACATAGACATACGAATAAATCTTGAAAGGTTTATACACCACCATACCCAGGTGACTTTCTTTTTTTTTTTTTTTTCTTTCGAGACAGGGTTTCTCTGTGTAGCCCTGGCTGTCCTGGAACTCACTCTGTAGACCAGGCTGGCCTCGAACTCAGAA